AGCTTCTTCGCCACGAGGGCTCGGTGGCTCCTGGGCCGGGGCGGCAGCGGGGCAGCCGGACAGCAGGGCGGCCTGCTGTTCAAGTCCGTCGCCCCCGGGCCCGAGGGGGGCAGCAGCTGTGGGCGGGGGGCCGGGGTCGGCTCCCCAGCTGCTCTCGGAGGCCGGAGGCTCTCCTGTGGGGGTGGCGCCTGCTCCTCTGTGCGTCTGTCCCTCCGCAGGGGAGAGGGAGCTGCCTGGGATACCGGGACATCCCTGTGTTCCTCCGTCCTCTCTCCCGGCCCCGTCCTCATCTGCGGCAGCCCGGAGGAAGGGCCCGGGCGCCGCGTCGGCCCCGCCATCGCCGGGCCCCGCGGCGTCTCCCCCTGGGGGACTGCGCCGGCCCGCCTCCTGCAGGACCGCGTGGCCGCGAGACTCCGCCACGTCTCTGCCCGGCTCAGGGAGGGTCTCGGCCTCCTGCAGGGCCAGGGCCGTGTCCTGCGAGTCCATGAGGCGGGCGGAGCCGGCCTGCGCGGCGGCGGCTGCGTCTCGGGGATCCCCCACCTGCTGCAGGGACTCAGCTGGCCTGGGGCCCTCGGGCTGCTCAGCCGCGGGCAGGGAGACGCACCGGGGCTCGGCTCCGTGCTGGCCAGCGCCGGTCGCGGTCTTGTCGGGGTGCGGGCAGCTCTCGGGCTCCACGGCGCCGTCGGCTTGGGGGCGGGGGCGCGTGTCCCACGGGGCGCTGCTGCTGTGCTCTCTCTCCTGTAGGGGGGACGGCGGTGGCGGCGGCTGTGTGGCGACAGCGACGGCCTGCTGCGGGGCATGCTGGGATAGCCCGGCCTCATTCTGGACTGCCAGTCTGAGGGGCGAGGCGTCCGGAGCTGGGGACCCCTGCAGCGTCTCCCCAAAACCACCGCCGCACAACGCACCTGGAAGAGACCGCAAGAGAACAAGAGCACATGAGCAGGAGAGGCATGCAGAAAGGCGACAGCGCCACCTGTTTTGCAAAGCTTGACGCAAGCAAGAAGGAGAGCCGAGAGGGGGATTTCCTCAAACATCACCAGCTCACAAACAACACGAGGACACGCATGTTCACCGGCTGGGGCCGGCGCGCGGGACAGGGGGACACACGAGGAGAGACAGACAGACAGGTGTAGCGGCTGGGACAGTTGGGGCGCTCTGACCTGTCTGTGGCTCAGGACCAGGCTCGTCTGTGCTTTCCACTTCCAGGATGCTGAGTTGATGGGCACCTGCGCTTCTGCAAGACAGAGAAGGGGGGGACAGGTCACGCTCCACACAGTGCAGCACAGCCCCGCTGGCCCACGCTCAAGGCCCGTCCCAGACACCCCTTCCCCTACTACACAGCGGCCACACCAGACGTCACGGCACTCCTCCGCTCCCACAGTGACCCGAGCGCCCAGGAACACCCTCTCCCTGCTGCCTCGGGTTCCCCTAAACCCTCGCACGGTGGCCGCTTTCCGCTGGTACTTCGTGAGGGAGGACTGAGGGCCGGTGGGCAACCCCGGCCCCTTCCCCCACCAGCCCCGGCTGGCACCCCCCACTCTGCTGTAGGCCCCCAGAGCGGAACAGAACAAGCAGGTGCGGCAGGGTGCCCAACACTTCGGCACGGTGTCCCGCAGACGTACGCGGGCTGGGTGGGCCGCCGGACCTCCTGAGAAACACGCGAACGCCGACCAAACACGCACGCACACACACTCGAATCCATCTCGCAGCGAGACCAAGACCGAGACCTCGAGACAGCCTGCCAGCCATCGCGCAGCTCTCAAGCCCCACGCATTTCCATCAGATCTGGTCAGATCGAAAACGGCGAACGAATCGCCGTGAGATCGGGACACCAACGTGTTCTCTCGAGTGAAAGGAAGGAATAGGAGAAACTGCGAGCCATCACGGCTTTCCTTCCAAAATCTCAGCCAGAAAAAAATCTGGGTTTTGGACTATGCTTTAGGACTGGGCTTTAGTACGTGACACAGAAACAAAACAAAAAAATGCAGGGCTTCTTCGCAGCTGAATCACCAGGTCGCAGATAAATACTGCGTCCCTTCGTCGCTTGCAGAAGTTGGCAAGAAACATCATTTCTGATGAATAATAAGGGGAGTGGAAGATGCTTAACTTTCCAAGTAAAATGAGACTTATTGCTCCACATAGCACAAAATATTAAACAGCACCTGAATAGAACACAATGGTGGCTTGAGGAGCACAGAAGAAAATAAATGGCAGATATGAGAGGAAAAGTTCAATCTGGAGCACCAGTCAAGAGGCTCAGTACAGTGACAGGAACAGTGTGATCTGGA